GGGGGTCACGGGACACTCTCCCTGCTCCAGCGGTTGGCAGAGCACTCTTCCCTACAAAAGAGGCCACCTTCGCGGGCTGTCCTGGAAACTCAGCGGCAGCTAACATGCTGGGTCCCCGCTGGACTCCCACTCTCCTCTGCAACCGAGGTCACCAGGACAAAGTCAGTCGAGGGGCGCAAGTGCGCCCTGACCTGCTCTGGCAAGATCAGCTGGGACCACCGCTGTAGCATGAGGGAGGCCTGAGCCGGCTCTGAAGACTGCCTCAGAGGGGACTGTTTTGCGCAGCTGTGCCCGTGCCCGAGCCCATGCCCTGCACGAGTTTTGAACCACAAGGAACTAAAACCATACAGTGGACAAAAGACAGCATTTTCACCAAATAATGCTGGTTCAACTGGTAGTTGGCATGTAGAAAGATGCAAATTGGTCCATTATTATCTCCTTGTACAAAGCTCAAGTACAAGTGGATCACAGACCTCCATAAAAATCAGATATGATAAATTTAATAGAAGAGAAAGTAGGAAAGATCTGGGAACACATTGGCACAGGGGAAATTTTCCTGAACAAAGCACCAATGGCTTATGCTCTAAGATCAAGAATTGACAAATAGAACCTCATAAAATTGCAAAGTTTCTGTAAGGTAAAGGACACTGTCAATAGGACAAAACAGTAACCCACAGATTGGGAAAAGATCTTTACTAACCCTTTGTTTGATAGAGGTCTAACACCCAAAATATACAAAGAACTCAGGAAGTTAGACTCCAGAGAACCAAATAACCCTATTAAAAATGGGATACACAGCTAAACAGAGAATTCTCAACTGAGGAATCTAGAATGGCTGAGAAGTACTTAAGAAAATGTTCAACATCCTTAGTCATCAGGGAAATGCAAATCAAAAGGACTCTGAGATTTCATCTTACATTAGTCTGAATGGCTAAGATCAAAAACTCAGGTGACAGCAGATGCTGGCAAGAAGAAAGGAACATCCCTCCATTGCTGCTGGGGTTGCAAGCTGGTACAACCACTCTGGAAATCAGTCTAGTGTTTCTTCAGAAAATTGGAAATAGTTCCACCTGAGGACCTAGCTATTCCACTCGAGGGCATATACCCAAAAGATGTTCCAACATAAAACAAGGACATATGCTCCACTATGTTCATAGCAGCTTTATTTATAAAGCTGGAAACAACCTAGATGTCCCTCAAGGGAAGAATGGACACAGAAAATGTGATACATTTACACAATAGAGCTATTGTGTAAATTTCTCAGCTACTAAAAAAATGACAAAATGAAATTCTCAGGCAAATGGATAGATATTTAGGAAAATATCATCCTGAATAAGGTAACCCAGTCACAAAAGAACACACATGGTATGTACTCACAAAAGAACACACATGGTATGTCCTCATGTGGTATCATGAGAATACTCATGATACCATTCACAGACCATATGAAACCCATGAAGAAAGACGACCACACCAAAGTGTGTATGCTACAATTCTACCCAGAAGGAAGAAGAAAATAATCTCGGGAAGTGGAGGGAGAAAGCAATCTGGAAGGGAGAGAGGAAGAGGGGTAGGATAAAATGAGAGGGGATGGAGGAGAAACACAGAGAGTTGGGAGTTTGAAAGGAGCTGTGTAGCATGAGGGAGTGGGAACTGGAGGTAGCCACTAGAATGTCCCAGATGCCAGGGACCCAAGAGGTTCCCAAGATCCAACAAGGAGGACATAAGCTGAAATACCAAAAAGGGGGGAGAAAGAACCTGTAGAGACCATATCCAGTGGATAGACATGGCCCCTAGTTAAGGGATGTGGCCACCCACCCACCTCAAAAACGTTAATCCAGAATACCTCTGTCAAAAGGAAATGCAGGAACAAAGAGTGGAGCAGAGACTGAAGGAAAGGCCATCCAGAGACTGCCCCACTTAGGGATCCATCCCATCTGCAGACACCAAACCCAGACAGTACTGCAGATACAAAGAAGTGCCTGCTGACAGGAGCCTGGTGTAGTTGTCTCCTGAGAGGTTCTGCCAGAGCCTGACCAATACAAATGTGGATCCATGCAGCCAAACATCAGACTGAATGTGAGGGCCCCAACGGAGAAATTAGGGCAGGGATTGAAGGAACTGAAGGGATTTGCAACCTTATAGGAAGAGCAACAATATCAACCCAACAGATGCCCCAAAGCTCCCAGGGACTAAACTACCAACTTAAAGGTACACATGGGAGGGTGCAGCCATGGCTACAGATGGATATGGAGCAGAGGATTGCCTTATCGGGTATCACTGGGAGGGGAGCCCCTTGGTCCTGTGGAGTCTAGATTACCCAAGGTAGGGGAATGCTAGGGCGCTGAGGCAGGCACTGACGGGCAGGTGGGAGAGTACTCTCATAGAGACAGGGGGAGGGGATGGGGGTTTGTGGAGGAGAAACTAGAAAGGGGAATAACATTTGAAATGAAAATAAACTAAGCAATAAAAAATGAGAAAAAAAGAAATTGAACAGAAATATTTAGCAGGGGGAATGAGGAACTATGGGTTGCTACTAGAAAGTTCCAGATGCCAGGGGCCCAAGAGGTTCCCAGGACCCAGCAGGGATGACATTAGCCGAAATACCCAACAAAGTGGAGATAAAAACTGTAGAGGCCATCTCCAGTATATAGGCACAAACCCCCGTTAAGGGATAGGACCATCCACCCATCTCAAAAATTTTAACCCAGAATTGTTCCTGTCTAAAGAAAACACAGGAACAAAAAAATAAAAAATAAAAAAATGGAGCAGAGACTGAAGGAAAGGCCATTCTGAGACTGGCCCACCTAGGGAATCAATCCCATCTACAGACACCAAGCCCTAACTCTATTGCTGATGCCAAGAAGTGCTTGCTGACAGAAGCCTGGTATAGCTGTCCTCTGAGAGGCTCTGCCAGCTCCTGACCAGTACAGATGCAGATACTCACAGCCAACCATAGGACTGAGCCTTGGGACTCCAATGGAAGAGTTGGGGGGAGGACTGAAAGAGATGAAGGGAATTGCAACCCCATAGGAAGAACAACAGTATCAATTAATTGGACCACCCAGAGCTCCCAGGAACTAAATTACCAACCGAAGAGTACACATGAAGGGACCCATGGCTCCAGCTGTGTAGTAGCAAAGAATTGCCTTATCTGGCATCAATGTGAGGGGACACCCTTGGTCATGTGGAGGTTTGATACTCCAGTGCAAGGAGATGAAAGAGTGATGAGGCAAGAATGGGTGAGTGGGTGGGTGGGGAGCACCCTCATAGAGGCAAAGGGGAGAGGGATTGGATGGGGGGGCTTAGAGGGGGAACTGGGAAAAGGGACAACGTTTGAAATGTAAATAAATACAATAAGCAATAAAAAAAACACAGGCAGTACCATACAGGATGTGGATGTAGGAAAGCACTTTCTAAATAGGACCCAATTAGCTCAGGAATTCAGAGCAAGGATCAAGAAGTGGGCCTTCATTGAACTTAAAAGATTCTCCACAACTAAAGAAAACAATTGAGTGAAGAGAAAGCCCAAGCTGATTGCAAACTGGTCCAGGCATTCTAGAAATCAGTATGAGGAACCTTCAAAAGCTAAAAAGAAATCTTCTATATGACTTAGTTATCCTATGTCTTAGTATATTGCCAATAGACTCTAGACTCTAGATTCGACTCCACAGTTACTTGTTCATTGCTGCTCTGTTCACAGTAGCTAGCAAATGGAAAAAGCTAAAAATCTTGCAACTGACATATGGACAATGAAAATATATATTATAAAATACTATTTAGCTTCATGAAAAATTGAGATTATGAAATTTGCAAATAAAAAAATGAAACTAGAATAGATCTTACTCATATTGAGTAAGATAACCCAGATCCAGAAAGACATAGGTCACCTGTTCTTTCTCATCTGTTGTTCATATATAATATTTACATACAAGTGTAGACCTCACCCTTGCCTAAGGAATGACTCCTTGCAACAGAGAACGTTATAGAAAACCATAACCTATCAAAATGTGGAAGATAATTGATCATGTGGTGCACACCCCCAACTGATACATCTAGAACATGACTCCTGCATTGAAGGCTCTGGGATCATTACAGAAGATAGAGAGATTGGAAGAGTCTGAGGATTCAGAGATATTTTGTGAGAATGAGTCTCCTAGATATGTCATGAAGACCCATCATACATCTAATCTGATAAAGGATCTGAACAAGGAGGACACAAATGGACATGCAAACATGAAAGAGGGAAACCTCATGGAATCCCAGCCCCAGAGAAAGACTAGGCAATTAAGGAATACTTAGAGCAGGAGAAATATGTTTCTGCTGGGAAGAACCCTAACCAGCTACCTGATACCAAGTGGTTAGCCCTCATCGCCTATATTTGCAAGCGACATTACAAGAAGTGAGCAGATTGCATTTATATATTAAGGAATATTCTCTCTCTCTCTCTCTCTCTCTCTCTCTCTCTCTCTCTCTCTCTCTCTCTTCCCTCTTCCTCCTCCTCCTCCTCCTCCTCCTCTTCCTCCTCTCTCTCTCTCTCTCTCTCTCTCTCTCTTTCACACACACACACACACACACACACACACACACACACACACACCAATTTAAAAAGGAGGCCATGAATTTTAGAGAGATCAAGGCAAGGCCAAGTCGTGGTTCAGGCTCAGAGGGAGGAAAGAGAAGGGGTCATTGATGTAAATATATTTTAAATGTAAAAATTATATATATATATATATATATATATATACACACACACACACACACACACTTTTCTGGATTTCTTGAGCAAGTGATTGATTTTGATCTCAAGAGTCTGTAGGGAAACTGCTGCCAGGTAACTGTCTTAGGCCTTTACATATGTGTCATGGAGCATGTGTGCCATGGTCCATATGTGCCCATCTTTCCTCTAAAACTAAACAAAGAACTTTCTTTAAAAAATAGCTTAACTATTTTTATTGGAGTGACATTAACACAGTCAGAGTATACACATAGATGCATATAAACCCTTACTTTTAAATTCAAGTTTCTGTACAAGTAATTCAGGAGTATGCCTCTTGGTACAGTTTATTTGTGATTATCTATTTTCATTAAAAGGCTATTCTGGGCCTTGGCTTTAGCTTTATTGTGTTTGTCCAAGAGTCCAGGCAATTCCTTTGACGATGATCATGCACTGAGGGTGGACACACATGGAGGGTAGTCACACTGAGAGTGGTTGCACACTGAAGGTGGTCACGCACCTAGGGGTAGTCACTTTGATAGTGGTCACACACTGAGTGATCAGATGCTTCAATTTTATAGATTTCAAACTGATATTAAGAGAGACATGAGCAGACTTTCTTGTTGACAGAACTGACAGTTCTCATTTAAGTAAAATTGACTCCAATGCAATGCTTTTCTTATTCCATCATATACAATTTAATTAATTACTAATTGAATAAGGACTACAAATCCAGGATCACACATTTCCAATAGTAGATTTTTTTTGTCTCAGAATAATTGTAGAGTTAGAAGAAAAATATGATTTTATAATTTTGTTTCAATGTCAATGACAGCACAAGTCCAGTGGTCTATATCTGGTGTCTATAAAGAGGATTCTGTCACCTTCAAACCCTCCCCTAGTTAGTAGTCTTCCACATCACCAGCACAGATGGCAAGCAGTGCTTTCTTATAGTGTCCTGAAGCAAAATTCTGAAAAGAAAAAAAAAATAAAAGCATGTAAAATCAAATCTCTCCCTGTTTTAAAAGTCAACTGTAAATTTTCTAGTTGCAGTATAAAAGATTCATGGACCATTAGCCTTCACTAAAATTACTTAATTTTTTTGTCTAAAGATCTTCTAAGTACTATTTGAAGTGAAACTTATTAAAAATAGTGCTATGTTATAGTTGATACAATATGTTTTATATAAAGCTGATGGAACTTTGATGTGTATTTGTGACCACAATAACATGTTACAGTGAATCTTCTTTCCAGCTTTAGGAATTGATACCTTAATATTACAATGATCATAAATCAGTGTCGAATCTGGTCATTGCCAATGTATCTCAAAAGATTTGAAAATATTTATACTGTTTAATTCTGTAATTCTATATCAAGAAATACATTGAAAATATTATCAATTAAGGATGAGCACGAGATTTATGCTAAAAAACATGTCCTATAATGTTACATATGACAATAAAAGGTTGAAAAGCAGTACTCAATCATGTGAGACAGTTATTTCACAGTGTACTTTGTAAAGAGGTTGTCCTGGTTTAATAAAATCCTTTCTTTTGACAGCAAAACGTTATTGTTTATGTACTTGTGAAAAAGATCAACAGTGGCTACCTTAATCCACTGGGACTGTCACAATCTAGGTGGCTTAAAATATCAGAAGTTTATGTCTAAGTTAGGGTGAATGGGAAATCTAGGTGACTAAACATTTTGTGAATACTTCCTTATTGACTCCAGCCTTACATGGCAGAAGGGAACATCCTGGATCTTTTTTTTTTTTTAAATAGGAGAATAGCCCTACTTGTGGATTCTGTCTTCATGACTTAACCCTCAACTGCCCAGCTCCTAACAGCATCTCTGTAGGGTTAGAGTTTCAGTGTAGAAATCTGGGACACAAGCTTCCCAACCATAGCAGGACCTAGGAGTATCTCACTACTGGGTGTCTGCAGTAGAGAGTTAGGGCAATTTTGTTTCTTTTTATCTTTTTCCATCATGTCTAAATATTCCAGAATAGGTAGCTGAATTATACAAGGAATACACCAGGAATACACCAGGAATAATTACAAATAGTATAAACAAGCTAGCTTATTCACTTAGAAACTGAGTTCTGAATCAGTGCTATGTGTTGATCACCACTAACAGTTTTCAGTTTTCAAGGTAGACATAATGAACATTTTATCAAATGTTTAAAAATCCATAAGAGTGGTTTTAACTGTTGCATCAATTTCTTAGAGCCATTTTGGCTCCTACAAAGGCTTAGAAAGCACTCTGGAATTTGTGGCTTCAGTCTCTCAGATGCTGAAGTTATGTTTTGAATTATACAAGGAGCTAAACTGGTTTTTCTTGTGACTGGGAGTTTCAGTTGAAAACAATATGAGTGTCCAAGGTATAAATTAAAATAGATTCACATGTATTGTGTGTGTTCTGCTGCTCTATTCTCTCCATCCTAAATACCTTCTTGGTTTTCTTTGGTGAAGAAACTAAACGTATTGATTTTATAATGCAACCACAAATTACATAGATGGTCCATATATTTCTTTTTTTGTTAAGTTATATAACACATTCAAAAATTTTTTTTAGGAAAACCAGAATAAGTAATTGGGTTGTTTGTTTTTGAATTATTTCCTTGCCCTCTGATTGGTGAAGTGATTGGTCATGTCGAGTTTTACATATTCAGTAATAAATTTCCTCAAATTGTCAGTTGGTGGTATTTGACTGGCTGCCTTGTTTTCTAGGATGCTATGGAGAGTGTTGCTGGCAGTATTTAGTACAGTCCTGTGGCAAAATATTGTTTTTTTGTTTTTGTTTGTTTGCTTTCTTGATTGTGTTTTGAGAAGTTTCAAGTAATGGATCCTATTCTCCAGTTGCTTTGGAGCTGAGGGGACCTTGAAATGTCGGTCCTCCTACCGCAGCCTCAGTACATCTAATGTAAGGGTTGCAGGCGAAATTACAGGTAAACTAACACACCCAGCCAGTCCTGTGATTTTCACATTAGAATGGAATCCTGGGAGCACAGTCATAGTGAGGGAATATTTTCTACAATTACATAAACATTTGATTTAACAGCAAAGATCAAAATTTCCGTGGTGCAATGACTTTCCAGGTTGCCCTTTGTTAAAGCACTGAACGCTGTTTGAGTTCCTGAAGTCAACCGTACTCATGTAGCCTCTTAGATGCCCACAGCCAGTTGTTTCAATTAAAGCTTATCTATGGTCCAGAAAGAATAAGATGTGAGGTAAAGTCAATTATGAAGAGAAAACTTACTTTGATATCATGAAAGAGGGATTTCCCAAATCTCTCTTTGTAACGTTTCCTTATGGTCATTAAATCTATTTCACTTCTGGCAATTAGAATCCTGATGACAGTTTTGTTATGGAAGCCAAAGTCCTAAAAACAGTAGAAATAGGAGTAGAGAAAACAGTACTTTGAAGGCCTGCCCAACGTGGAAGGAGTTCCTTTTCAGTAGTGATTTGCTTGTGAGTCCACAGGTCTTCAACATTGCTGTCACTGCCATATGGGATGCCTGGGGCCTCCCCTCAGGGAAGTTTCAAATGTCTTTCAAGTGGAATAATGGTGACATCTTGTGGCCACTCATCATAATCTAATGTTTTTATATCAGAATATTTTGAGTATAAATCTACTAGCATTTCATATTTGGGATCTTCACTGGGCATATGACTATTATTATTAATTTTATTAATTATTATTAATTACAACAACAACAACAACAACAACAACAGCAACAACAACAAAATATATGACCAAGTTCCCTGAATCAAGGCATAGCTGGAATCAGAACTGTGAGTATTTGCCCAGGTTATACACAGGGAAGGGATTAGGCTGTTGTCATAGTCATGGTGCATTTGAATTATCAGTTTAAATAAACAATAAATACTAAGATTCTAAACAGCATGAGGGTGATAGAGCCTGAAGTCTCATATCTCTTACATACCTATGTTGTAGAAAGCAGAGATTATCTGCATTTAATGAATTTTACTTTTGATGTTTAGCTTGTTTCTTATTACTTGAACACATTTTCTTTGAAATAAAAATAATAGATATTAATTTTAAATTAAAAAACATGTGTTGTACTTACATGGATTGCCCTGTATAATTTGTAAGCAAAATAGCTTGGTTTGTCCTGGATACAACGGACTAGAGAGAAAGAGAGCAAGGAACAAATTTGAATGACAAGATGTAATTCTCCGGAAGTCGGGAAACAAATAGAGCACTTACATATTCTTCCAGAATAATGGTAGCACTAGCCACCCTCTACTGAAAAGTATAACTGTCAATATTATATTTTATAATGACAAATGATCTTCACTGAGCATATGACCATTATTAATAATTTTTAAAAAATGTGGTGCTAAATATAAAATCAGACACATACAATCCATTCACCTTCCTGAATGCTACCCATTCAGACAGCCTTTCAAACTGGTCTATACCAGCAGCTCTTTGATCCCTTAAAGATTTGTGAATAAAATGCAGGTCGTTTAAGGAAAAACTGTAACAAATGTAAAGTGTCTGCTTCAGTTTTAGATATTATTTGATTATTACTGATAGGGCTTTGAACAGATTGACACCTATCCAATAGTTGCCCCTGTTAAATATCAGTTGAGATTGTAAACCATCAATAAGGCCTTATTTGCAAAGTTAATAGATTAATTACATAAATGAATAATAAGTGAGGGACTATAATAGCTCAAAATAAAGTCATACTAATATTTCTGTATAGTTCTAGTAATTACTTTCGATCATGAGACCATCTCTTCATCCTTATCTCATTTTTATTTCTGAGACAAGTAAATTTGAGAAGTGATTTCTGGAAGGTGACGTCCCAGAGAGCAGAGGCTAGTTTAGTTATTCTTGGCTTTGTTAGTTCACTATTCCACCTGTATCACCCAAATTAGAAATGAATAGGTGTTCATTTAGTATTGATTGATGGAATGAACCCGATAGATATTTCCTGGTATTGCTGTTGTCCACTAACTGTTACCTTTTGTCATTTTCTGACAAGTTTGGGCTGCCTTGAGATTTCAATGACATGAGTTCTACTCTAACTTTTGTTAATTAGCTGACATGTGATATATAACTATTATATTTATTTGAAATTTGAAGGAATCTATCCATCTGTCTATCTATCTATCTATCTATCTATCTATCTATCTATCTATCTGTCTGTCTGTCTGTCTGTCTGTCTGTCTGTCTGTCTGTCTGTCTATCTATCTATCTATCTATCTATCTATAGACAAAAGCCATCATATCACATATCTTTAGTAGTTTCATAGAATCCACCAAATCTTTTTCATAGGATACTTGCTTAAAATCTCATACTAGATTATTTATAAAAGTGCTGTGACTGACATCTCAGTTCCATGTCAAGACATTCTTGGGATTGAAAGCTCACAAAGATTGTTTATTCAGCACATGTCCAAGTGCTCATTTGATGCACCTATTATACGATACTTCACAATGACTCTTTATGTACATTTTCTGCAGTCTTTGTTGTCAAATCACAGAGTACAGGGTAAAGAGTGAACACTGGAATAGTCTGGATGAATAAGAGCCCTGGTCTTTTCTATAGCGGGCATATAATTTCTAACAGCACTGGGAAGGCATGCCTATAGAACTCACTACTAATTAATAATTTATTTTTTTGATGACAAGATTTATTTCTAAAGGGAAATTTATTAAAGATAGTAAAAATTTAAAGAACCATTAAAAGCAAATCTAAAAATTATTACCTGTCTTCTTGAAGACAAGAAACTAGTCATGCTGTTAATATTTATCTGCTCCTGAAACAGGAGTGGAAGTCAATGATGCTAACATAGACTGAAAGCTATGAGAAATGACTTATGAGTTCAGGCATCCAAGATATCTCTTTTCTCATATGGAAAGTAAGTCTGTTCTTGGAGAATCAATGCCAGTTGATTAATGCCAGTTCATTGAATTGAACCACTAGCTGACGACTTTCTTAGAATTTAGGGATTGTTCAAATAATTGCACTGGGAAAAAATGCTTCAATTAAGATCTTACTCATACACATGTAATCCAGTCAGAACCATTCAGTGCTGTGAAAAGCAAGATCTTCTGGTCATCATATGAAATCCAGCTTACCAATTGCAATCAGCAGCTCCTGAAAGTAACCATCATAACAGTCATTGATGGCATCCACCAGGTCTTGGCCAGAAATATTTTGAAATTCCTGGAAAACTTCAAGAAATTGACGGGATTCAAAAGGGATTTTCATAAATACCATAAACTTAAAGTACTAATGCTAGTTAGACTATTATACATGGCAAAGGTAAGTATGTTCTCTGAAGCATTTCTTGGTACTAATACCCATCGTGATGATGTATCTATTCTTAGCAACAAGTATAAATCCTATGAGATGCCAAAACTTGCATGAAGCTTGGAATCCAAAGAACTACTATTGCTGGACTGGGGAACGATGGTTATCTTGAGTTGGACTCAATAACTCCAGTGTTGATTTAGAGGGGAGGAAGGCACAGGGTAAACTATTGTCTATGAGACATCTTCAGAGAATATAAATAGCAACCAGTCTAAGTTTATTTGTGTACCGCAAACTTTCTGTTAGAGCTTAAATATAAAAGTTAAATGCAAAATTCCTCTGAGTAATATTGAATTTAGAACTTTGAAGACCTCATTTGAACAATAGGAGATTGCCATGAGAATAGCTTCATTACTAACATAAAATAATGTTCAGTTAAACTTCCCTCTTTAAAGAGTGTGCTCAGCTGGCGTTATCTTTGGCAATGTTTTAGTTCTCAGCTATTTCAACTTAGATGTGAAGTGTTGCTATCATTAGTATTAATCTTTAACTGACACAAAGTAAAAGAGGCATAGTTGAATTAGATAGAGTAGGCTATTGCTAAAAAAATTGATAGGACTTTATGTTTCATTTAATTGTACTTAATTTGTTTTCCTAATAAGGGAAAAAGAAAGGTTGCAGAATGTGAAGAAAGTCAAGGGTAGGTTAATGTGAGCACATCTTGAAGACCAATAGGTACTACTGAGATCTCCTAAATCACATTGCCTGTCACAAAGACCTTGACTCATAAGCTGGCCACAGTAAGCTCACTACAGACTGTTCAGACACAATATAATGTGCCTGTTAAGAAAGAGCTCATATATCTAAATAGGTAACCTTTAAATGTCAGTATTTGAAAGCTATGGACTTAGTTACTGAGAAGAATTTAAAGAGTGACAGAGCTTTATTCCACTGCATTATCAGTACATGAAACATACTGTATAGACATAATTTGGAGCAGTGACTGGCTTTTCTATATTTCTGGGTGACATTTCCTCTTTGATTCTCACTGCTTGTATGTCATTTGATTGGTTAAAGAGGTAGAAAAGAGCCTGTTTCTAGTTACCCAGCCAAAGATGTGGGTAGCTCTTGTTGCACAGGATCATCTGCATCATGGTTTTATGTTCCCCAGTCTTCTGCTGACATGCTTCCCACAGCACCTGGAACATCACACAGTCAGGAAGGAGCAATGGAACAAGCCTCACTTTACCCAAAGTTTTAACAGTCAGGTGGGAAGTCACACCCCAGTTACCATTGCATCCTGAGCAGCCATTGCAGGATTGGCATATCCTTCCTCCCTGTTTCCCTGTGAAATAAGCAGATTTCCTTTTAGATGGTTTCAATACACAATACAGGGTTCTTGGGATAAAATTCCCCCAGTCATCAAACACTAGTGACTCTTTATCAATCCGTCTTATTATTTGGATATTTCCACACATGAGTAATTATTATGTAGTTTTGTAAGGAGTTTAATTTTGAGCTTTTCCTCCCAACAGAGGTACTTCGTAAAAACTGTTGAGATGTTTTCCACTTTTCACCTCTGTGCTCTGATCAAGCTGATTATCTGTCTCTTGTCAGAGGTGGTAATAATGGAGTTTAACACTCTTAGTGAAATGATGCAGACATAGTCATGTATGGCTTGGAAAACATGGCTTATGTAACAATAAAATTGTGATGAAATCTAGACTTTGAAAATGAGAATGTTTTGTAAAATTGTTTAACCTCCATTTCTTATACTACAAAAAGCAGAGAGTCCATTTGACCTTTGACACAGAAGAAAGGAGGACCAATCATTAATGCAAAACTTAAAAGTCTCCATGGTCAAACAAGAGAGAAAAGAGGTGGCAGAGACTTGTTATTAGAATGTATTTCAGGTTTTGAGGCAAAGTATGGAGGAGGAGGTTACTAATTATGAGAGAACATTAAGGATCAGTGCCTTTTCCCTGTCATGAAATGCCAGTGGAGTCAGTGAAATTGGAAGATGGACAAAGGTGTATGAGTGTGTGTGTGTATATGTGTGTGTTCTGTCTATGTATGCATATGGTGGGGATAATATTGGTTTCAGTTGCCCTGAGTTTGTCTCAGTTCCTACATAACATGAATAGGACCTCAATTTTCTTACCTGCTTCTTATTAGAGGAACTTACACTTTGGCTGAGGAACCGGGGTTGAAGCTTGAATGAGGGTGTTGTTTATGATCATTATGAGGACTTTACAAGGACAAAGGTTATAGTGAGATAGCATTGAGTAGAACTGCATGGGAGACAAGACTAGATGTTGGGAGGATTCTTCAGATCCCAAGAAGGTAAAGGTGAGGCTCATTAACTTATCCTATCTCTGACCAAACAGAGTCAGAGAAAGCATCATTAATTAACTTGCTATACATATGCAGCTAATTCTAAGAAGCATCCACATGTATCATGGACATTACAACCTTACATCATCTATCTAGTGCTTCTAATACCTGTCCTTCTATAGACAAGATCATCCAGGATGCAGATCTTTGCTATTGAAGGACATCATCACTCTCCTTTTCTAAGACATCCTTTAACACACACACACACACACACACACACACACCACAAACATTTTTTACCCAATAGCATCTTGGAGAGAAGAGGTGATGGTCAGAGTCAGGAAATTCTCCATAAAAGTATCAAAAAGATTTGAATCTGTACCCATAAATTTTGACTATTCAATATATTGTGTGGATTAAATTTACCATATTACATTAAGCAAGTTCTATGTTTCTTTTGCTAATACGAACCTAATCCCATCTAGGAAAGTTCAATTATTCAAAGAGAAATAAATTCATATCTTTCATGATTAAGTTTGTAGCCCTGACAATTTAGGAATAGAAGTCAGCATCTGAAGAATGAAAATTACTTTACTGGCTAGTGGGATTATGAGTTATTTTATCTTTAAGTCATGAGCATGTTGGCGTACAAGATCCCTAGAGGTCTTTTGTCTCTTACTCTTATTTTGGAGATAACAATGAAGGGACTTAGTGTTATTAAATCAATTGCCCTAGGTCTGAGAGTTAAAGAAGGACAATTATTAGATATCAGTGGTTTTACTTGCTCTGGGATCTAGTTACCATACCTGAACTCATTCTTTACAAAAAATATCCTTGGGCTCCCTTTCCAATTATCTGTAATGATTTTAATTTACCAGAAAAATAAGTGAAAATAATAGAAGCATTATACCTCCGGTGAACGCATACTATTTATTTGATAAGCTTATCATGGTAACTGTTATTTTTATCTTATTTGATTTTTTTCAGACTTTGTGTAAGTTCATCATTTTTCCTCACAATATTTCATTACTTGGTGTTATGTAGGTTTTTTTTCTTTGCTTTTGTTTCATTGAAAACTCCCCAGTCTTGGGAACTGGTTCTTCTTAATAATATTCAATCCCTTAACCTGCTGAATCTTCTCTCTGTGGTGCCATGCATTCTTGTCTGCCTTTACTCTTCCTAGTCTTCTACTCTCTGCTGTTGATAAAGGCTTAGATTCTGTCTGTCTTGTGATGATACTCAAGTTCTCTAGCTGGAACCCATTACAGAACTTTGTATTATGTATGTCTAGTCCAATGGCTAGCTCGTCATCTCTCCATGACCCTTTTTTATGTGTACAATTTCATACACTCAACAGCCAGCTTCTGGTCTACCCCTTCCAGGGTTTCACCTCTTGGTGGATGGACACTCCATGCTTACTGCTCAGAGTAAAACCTGAGTCATATTTCACTCTTTTTATTTTGTTTCATATTTCATATAAAATTCCCCAGTAGTTAACACAACCACTGTCCCCCAAACTCATCCAGGAGTGCTCTTGAATCTTACCATGCCGCCACGTGGCTCACAGTTAACACTATATCCTAGGTTTCTGCTGAGACTGGCTTCATGTAGGCTTCTGGTTCTGTGCTTGTCTCCATAGTTTTATTCATTATACTTATTAATTGTTATTTATATATTTCATATATTATTTATATCATATTAAGATATTATGTTGTATAATATATACTTATATATTGCATTTTATGAAATATAACATTTATTGTAAGTATCATAAAATATTACATCATAGTAGTCATCTACTTAAAAACACGCATAATGCTTACCTAACCCACATGCCACTCAGAATAAACTCCATGTTTATATAGGCTACATGGTTTGACTGATCCCTTGTCGTTTCTTTAACCTTATCTGGTTCATGCCTTGCTTTGGACTTTTTCACCAGTTCTGAATAATGACTGTTCATGCTATTGCATCCATCTGTGGTTTGATTCATTCTTTCATCCGTATGTTTGTTTAAATCTTATATATATTTCATGTAAATTAATCTTCATTTATTAGAAGTAAAGTTGGATCATAGTTTAACTTTATCCATTACTATTAAATTGTTTCTAATGAAAATATATTTTGGGGGAGGGAAAATGAATCAGAATTAATTTCATATGTTTACTGAGATCTACTCTGACAAACCTACATCACAATGCAACTTACCCACTCTGCCAAGCCCTATAATTCCTGTCTCCTACATCCTGATTGGTTACATTTTCATCACTTTTCAAAGTTTTCTTATAATGCCCTTATTCATTCGTATCTTATAGTATAATTTACTTTTTTAGATGTGAGTTTCATAAGACCTGGAAGTCTCCTTTGTTTTCGGATGATTCCCAATTGTCAGAAATCATGTTGGACACAGCATGAAGAACTCATCATGGGAAAGGCAAAGAATCCTTTTTGGATGTCAGACTTTTATGTTTGTTTTTTTTTCGATCTTTGAAGTATGATCTTTATGCAGCAAAGGAAACTCCAGCACGTACAAACACTGAGGACTACTTAGAGATTTTTCTGCCTTTCTATTTATCTGAGCTTTTGCTTAGAAAGGTGATAATCTCGTATGTTTAACGTGCAATAGTGTTCATCTATATGTGAGTGAAGGATTTCAGTAAGGGGAAAGATCAAAATAACAGAAATTAAAGGCAAAGAAAACTACTTGAAAGTACTTGAGCAGATAAACTGTCTCCAGATGATTACAGAAAGCAGGATGCTGACAGTGATGCTCTGAATGTCTCATTGTACAGATTTCAGAAAGGGTCCTCAGGAGAATCCCGGCAGCCAAGGTGAGTAGGGAGGCTGGAGTATTTAATCTGCTAGCTTCCCTTCTTTCTCTTTGAGAAAGCACTTGTTCACAATATAATTTGCACATGTTGATTAATTAATCTCCAAGAGACTAATTCTTCTTTAGTTGACAGATAATTAGACCCTCCACAAATCTAGTGCAATAAAAACATGCAGGAAGTGTTGTGGGCCTGCTTAATTACTGGCATCAGTTTTCAAGAGGAGTGCGTTCCCCTCAGTTGTTTCTTTGCAGAAAACTCTGTGCAGACGAAGTACAAGGTTTCCCTCCCAGACAGTATAGCAGTGATTTCCTTCCTTTGTAGCTCACGAACACCTCAAATCTCCTATGTTCTATCCCTGTCTTCACTATGATGTCAAAAGGGGTGTGTCTGAATTCTAATGACATTTGCAGAATGAAATCTATAAATTATCTTTTCTTTGAAGTGATGGTGCACATGGGACCAGATGATACGATTGCTACAACTGAAGGATAATAGAATATTTGTATTCTATTGTTCTTCAGAAGAACAGAGAGAATTAGCTCTTATTCATTAATTTGGGGAGCAGCAGTCTGAATCTCAAATAGGTCAAGTGATAAATCCAAGGATATACAACTGTAGAGGAAGAGGAAAAGATAATTATCTGTCTGTCTGTCTGTCTGTCTGTCTGTCTGTCTGTCTGTCTCTCTTTCAGTGTATCTGTCTGTGTGTTTGACTATGCATGTATATATGTATGAATGTTTCCTATCTATCTATCTATCTATCTATCTATCTATCTATCTATCTATCATCTATCTTTCTATCATCTATCTATCATCTATCTAGCTATCTATCTTCTATCACCTATCCATCTCTTTTGGTGTATGTCTATGTGCAAGTGTATGAGCGTGCATGTGTGAAAGAGAGAGAAAGAGAAATAAGACAGAGAGATTATGATACCTATTTGAGTGTGATAAAGACCAGGATAGATAAGATCAGTCTAAACTGTAGTATTCCCCTGCTGTCTGGTCAGAGGCTATCAGCACACAGTGGTCCAGAGACCTGATCAACTCTCAATTTTCCAAGCCACTGTTTTGGAAATAATAAATTATAAATCAGGGAACCCAAGAAAGTAGTTACCGAATATGGAAATCAGGAGTCTATAAAAATCATATAGTGCAATAAGCATTCTGAATCAACATAG